GAGAAGGCTGAAAATAAAAGGCAGACAGATAAAGGAAGAAATAAAACTGTTCTTGTTTGTGAATAATATGACTGTCCAATGGGAAAATCCCAAGGAATCTAAAGGAATCCCAACTCCTAAAATAAATGAATTTAGCAAAGTCACAGCATATAAAATAGAAAAATCAACTATTTCTATGTACTAACAAAGAATTTTGTGAATAATGAAATTAAAAAATAGTATCAGTGGGCCGGGCATGGTGGCTCAAGCCTGTAATCCCAGCACTCTGGGAGGCCGAGGCGGTTGGATCACAAGGTCAAGAGATCGAGACCATCCTGGTCAACATGGTGAAACCCCGTCTCTACTAAAAATACTAAAAATTAGCTGGGCATGGTGGTGTGTGCCTGTAATCCCAGCTACTCAGGAGGCTGAGGCAGGAGAATTGCCTGAACCAGGGAGGCGGAGGTTGCGGTGAGCCGAGATCGCGCCATTGCACTCCAGCCTGGGTAACAAGAGCAAAACTCCATCCCAAAAAAAAAAAAAAAATAGTATCAGTAACAAATATTCAAAAAATTAAGTACCTAGGTATAAATCTAACAAAATATACGCAGGAGTTATATGCTGATGACTGCCTAATGACAATAAAAGAAATCAGCCGGGCGCGGTGGCTCAAGCCTGTAATCCCAGCACTTTGGGAGGCCGAGGCGGGTGGATCACGAGGTCGAGAGATCGAGACCATCCTGGTCAACATGGTGAAACCCCGTCTCTACTAAAAGTGCAAAAAATTAGCTGGGCATGGTTGCACGTGCCTGTAATCCCAGCTACTCAGGAGGCTGAGGCAGGAGAATTGCCTGAGCCCAGGAGGCGGAGGTTGCGGTGAGCCGAGATCGCGCCATTGCACTCCAGCCTGGGTAACAAGGGCGAAACTCCAACTCAAAAAATAAATAAATAAATAAATAAATAAATAAATAAATAAATAAATAAAATAAAAGAAATCAAAGAATTAGCCAGGTGCAGTGGCAGGCACCTGTAATCCCAGCTACTTGTGAGGCTGAGGCAGGAGAATCGCTTGAACCTGAGGAAGTGAAGGTTACAGTGAGCTGAGATTGTACCATTGTACTCTAGCCTGGGCGACAGATTAAGACTGTCTCAAAAAAAAATAAAAGTAAGTCAAAGAATACATTAAAAAATAAGAGAAATATTATGTAGATGAGTTGGAAGATTCAACATAGTAAAGCTATCAATTCTCCCTAATTTGATAAACAGATTTAATGTAATTCCTCTCAAAAGCCCAACAAAATTCATTTTTTTCTTTTTTTTTTTGAGACAGAGTTTTGCTCTTGTTGCCCAGGCTGGAGTGCAATGGCATGATCTTGGCTCACCACAACCTCTACCTCCAGGGTTCAAGCGATTCTCCTGCCTCAGCCTCCCAAGTAGCTAGGATTACAGGCATGTGCTGCCATGCTCAGCTAGTTTTGTATTTTTAACAGAGATGGAATTTCTCCCTGTTGGTTAGGCTGGTCTCATACTCCCCACCTCAGGTTATCCACCCACCAGCCTCCCAAAGTGCTGGGATTACAGGTGTGAGCCACAGCATCCCAACAGACAAGACAATTCTAAAACATACAGAAAGTTCACAGAATTCGAATAGCTAAAAATTTGTGGGGGGAGAAATAAAATGAGAGAAATCAATCCACCTTACTTCAGACTTACACAGCTACAGGAATCAAGTTTGTGTGCTAATAGAGAACCCAGAAATAGACCAAAACAGACTCACACAAATATAACCAACTGACTTTTGACAAAAGTGCATCAACAATTCAATAAAGGAAAGGGAGCCTATTCAACAAATGGTGCTGGAGCAACTGGACATCCACAGGCTAAAAAGTTGCTCTTAATCTAAATCTGACATCTAACAGAAAAATTAACTCAAAATGGGTCATGACTTAAATGTAAAACAAACTATAAAACTTTTAGAAAAAAATAAGAGAAAATCTTCAGAATCCAAGGTTAGGCAGAGTTCTTGACACCAAAAGCACAATCTATAAGAGGAAAAAATGATCAACTTCAACAAAATTTAAAACTTTTGCTTTGCAAAAGACCCTCTTAGAAGATGAAAAGATAAACCACAGACTGAGAGAAAAGAAAACCTGAGAAAGGACTAGAATCTAGCGTATCTAAAAAACTTTAAAAGCAACAGAAAAAAAAAAATCTAGAAAACAGGCAACACGTTGGAAGGCTGAGATGGGAGGATTGCTTGAGCCCAGGAGTTTGAGACCAGCCTGGGCAACATGGTCACATCCTCACCTCTACAAAAATACAAAATTAGCCAGGCGTGGTGTTATGTTCCTATAGTCCTAGCTACTTGGGGTGGCTGAGACGGAAGGATCGCTTGAGCCCAGGAGGTGGAGGCTGAGGCTGCAGTGAGCCATGTTGGCACCACTGCAATGTAGCCTGGGTGACAACATGAGAAATGCAAGTTAAAATTACCATTATGTGTCACTAAACACCTATAAGAATGGCTAAATTAAAAATAAGGACAACACCAAATGTCGGTGAGGATGTGCAGAAACCGGATTTCTCATACTCTTCTAGTGGGGATGGAAAATAATACGGCCATTCTGGGAAAATTTGACAGTTTCTTATAAAACTAAGCATGCAACTACCATATGACCCAACAATTGTATTCCTGGGCATCTAGCCCAGAGAACTAAAGACTTATGCTTACATTATGAGTTACTGTACATGAATGTTCATAGCAGCTTTAGTCCCAATAGCCAAAAACTGAAAACAACCTAGATGTCCTTCAAACTGCGGCACAATCATACCATGGAATACTACCTCAGCAAACTAGATACACGCAACAACCTGGATGAATCTCCAGAACTTTGCTGAGTAAAAAAAAAAAAAAAAAATCCAATTTAGGTTACTAACTGGGTGATTCCGTTATATTAAGTCTTGGAATGACAAAATTATAGGAATAAAAAACGAATTACTGATTGTCTGGCGTTAAGGAGGAGGTGGGGCAGCAAAGAAGTGAGTGTGGTTATAAAAAGGCAATATGGGATCCTCCTGGTTCTGGGAACATCCTTTAACTTCACTGTACCAATCAATGACAATATCCTGGCTGTGGTATTGTACTATGGGTTTGCAAGATATTGAGTAAAGCTGGGTAAAGGGTACAGGGTTCTCACTATACTGTATTATTTCTTACAACTGCATATAAATCTACAATTAACGAAAAATAAAATTTAATTCGAAAATAAGTAAAGTTAGCCTCAAAGCAAAGTAAGTACAATTAAAAAGATATCTAACATCACCTAAATGAAGTGTTCTCTTCTGTTCAAGTGTGTTTGGATAGATCTCTATGAATCAGAGTTTATAAAACACACCTTCCTCATCAGCACCCCTCAATTTTCCCTCACTCACATGCACACAAACACAGCAACTGAGACAAGGCGGTCCAGAGAGAAAAACTGAGATTTCTTTAAATACAGGACAGAATAAAGAGAGGGAGAAAAGTCCTTGTCCAGTCTCTATAAAACAAACCAACGGTGTCACTGTGGACAGATCCGCTACTCAGCCTACAATTTCAACTGTTTCTACAATTTAAACTTCTCCCGTAGGAGGCTGCTTAGTGGAGTAGTTCACAAACTTTTTGGTCTCCAGTCTCCAAAGAGCTTTTGTTTACATAGATTACAACCAATGATGTTTATAGTATCAGAAACTTAAAGGGAGAATTTGTTTTTAAGAATACACAAAGACATACTCCCTCGGCCCTCCAAAAGGTGGTGAGATCATTCCACATCACGGAGCCTTTGGAAAACTCGATGTACACGACTTTGGTACTATTATGAAAATAGTTGTAAACAAACTTTGAAAACCGCTGGCTTACTAGCAAGCAAGATAAATATGCAAAGGTAACTGGTAAGGTTCAAAATACTGAACAAACGCATCGTTTTAGAGTACAAAAGTGTCACGGAGGGGGAAAAAAAAAAAGGTTCGAAATCATAATGGAGGAAAACTCGGACGACCACACCGTTTGGTAAAACGGGAGCGCTTCTGAAAAGCCAGGGAAGCCGGGCTTTCTCCTAAGGTCAGGAAGGCTCGGAAATGCTCACTGCTGTAAAAGATGACCGCTACTGAATCCGTCCGCACCGCACCTCCAATACCGTTATAGCCGTGAGACCCACAGTCACCGTTACGGATTGAACTTTTGGCAAAGACCGGGAAGCAGTGCAAGAAGAAGTCCCCCAACGTCCCCACGCTGCCGCCGCGCCCCTCGAGTCGGGGTCCGACCGCGCCCAGGCTCCGCGGAGGATCCTCTCCCGCCCAAAGCACCCAGCCGCCGCGGAAGCCTGGGCGGGCGGGGCCCGAGGGGACGCGGATCACAATCCCCGACCGGACGAAGCGACCGGCGGGCCGGGGAAGTCCCGCGGGCGCTGGGGAGCGCAGGACAGGGGCCCCGGCTTCGGCGGGACTCACCAAGTGCCGCGCCACCTCGGAGGATGCCATGGTTGCGGGCGGGGCTGAGGCGAAGCGGCGGTGTCAGCCCGGCCCCGAGCTGCTGGTCTTGGCGACGGCGGCCAGAAAGCCGGAGGTATGCGCTAACGGGCGGGGCGCGCGGCACGGGGTGGGACCGCCTCGTAGACAGTGAAGGGACAAGGGCGGGGCCTAGAAGGCGGCCTCGGGAGGCGGGGAACGGGAATGGGGACCGCGGGGCGGGGTCGGGGCGGACGCCCTACGGAACACGCTGAGCGTTTGGCGCGCGCGAAGCAAGCCCGTTGCAGGAGCTGCCTAGACGCCTCAGAGGACTGAGCGTCAGTGTAGGGGCGGGCAGAAAGAGAGCGGCGACTCCAGAAAGAGGGCGCGAGGAATGAAGGCGGAGACTGCAGAGCAGTGATTGCAGCCCTGCAAGGCCGGAAGTGGGCGGACCCTAGAGCGGGACCGCCTAGTTAGGTGTGGCCGGGACCGTGGGGAGCGGAAGTGGGCGTGGCCTGGTGGCGTGGGCGCAGGGTGGGGGTGCGGGGGGCGTGTCCGCTCGGGAACGGCCCAGTGAGGCGGTGGCCGAGTCTTCTGGCCGCAGACGCGGAGGTGGGTGGCCAGTTGAGCTCGCCAGACTCCATCGCCGTCGGGAGCCAGCCTCTGGGAGCCCGCCGCGATGGGACCGGGCTGAGCGTCCCGCTGGCGGGGCAGCAGCGCGGTCCAGGATGGAGGGGTCGGCGGAGCGAGGCCCGGAGGCGGACCCGGGCCTCGAGGCGGCGCTGGGCCCTGAGGCGGTGCTGCGCTTCCTGGCGGAGCGCGGGGGCCGGGCCCGGCACGCCGAGCTGGTGCAGCACTTCAAGGATGCCTTAGGCGGCGAACCCGAGCAGCGCGCCCGTGCCCGTACGCGCTTCAAGGAGCTAGTGAACGCAGTGGCCACGGTGCGCGTCGATCCCGCCGACGGCGCCAAGTACGTGCACCTCAAGAAGAGGTTCTGTGTCGGGCCGCCGGCGCCAGCCGGGGACCCTCCTCGAATCCAGGTGACCGCCGAGCCTGAGGCCCCCGACGGCCCGGCCGGGCCCGAGGTGCGCGATCCGCTCCCCGCCGCAGCGGTCCCGGAGGCGCACCCCGAACGGGGCCTCGAGCCTCGCGAGGGGGAGCCTCCGGCCGCTGCGCACAGGCCGCCCCTGAGCGCCGGGGCTCCCTGGAAGAACTCGCGGCGCGACGTGCAGCCCCTACCCCGGACGCCGGCCCCGGGACCTGGCGAGGACCTGGAGCCCCCGCCCCATGGCTGCGAGGAGGCGGACAGGGGCAGCTCTCTTGGGGGGGTCATCGCGCCGAGGCCGTCCCTCCAGAATTTCCGCGACCTGGTGATGGGCAGCTCCCCGCAGCTGAAGAGGAGCGTGGGTCTCGCGGGCAGCAGCCCGGGCAGCTCCTCCGGGGGAGGACGCAGCAGAGGCGGGGGCGACTCAGACAGCGCATCGGTGGCCTCGTCCGTGGAGGAGGAGAGCAGCGGCGGGGGCTCCGTGACGCTGGACCCCCTGGAGCACGCCTGGATGCTCTCTGCCTCCGATGGCAAGTGGGACAACCTGGAGGGCTTGCTGACCTGCGATCCCAGTCTGCTGTTCAAACGGGACTTCATTACTGGCTTCACCTGCCTGCATTGGGCGGCCAAGCACGGAAGGCAGGAGCTTCTGGCCATGCTAGTCAACTTCGCCAACAAGCACCAGCTGCCGGTGAATATCAACGCCAGGACGAGCGGGGGTTACACGGCCCTGCATTTGGCAGCCATGCACGGGAACATAGAGGTGGTGAAGCTGCTGGTGGGGGCCTACGACGCCGATGTGGAAATCAGGGACTACAGTGGGAAAAAGGCCTCCCAGTACCTGAGTCAGAGCATCGCGGAGGAGATCAAGAACCTGGTGGGAGCTCTGGAGGAGGAAGACGGGGAAAATGCCGCGGGCAGCGGCAGTGGGCGCTGGAGGCTTTCAAAGGTGCTTCCCTCGCACCTCATCACCTACAAATTCTCACACCCCTTAGAAGATGGAGGAGACCATCATCATCACCACCACCACCACCACCACCACCACCACCACCACCATCACCACTCTGCTGAGGGGTGGGTCGGAGGCAAAGCCAAGGATCCAGGGCGCAAAGCCTCGGGCAGCTCTAGTGGACGTATAAAACCCAGACTCAACAAAATCCGCTTCAGAACCCAGATTGTCCACACCACACTCTCTTTCAGGGACTCAGAACAGCCACAGGAGGATGTCGAGGATGAGGAGGAAGTAGAGGAGGAACGATCTGTTAAAGGCCGCTCGTCCTCCTTCAAATTGAGACCAAAGTCCAATGTATTTGGGTAAAAATGGTTTCTTTTAGAAAATGCAAAGACTTGTCTTCAGAAATTCAATAGTAGGTGTTGTAAGTAAATGAGACTAGAAAGACAAGGTAAATTATGCATTCTTACTTGAGGGATTGGAATGGATGGGGCGGAGTTCCCTTCAAGCTAGGCTTCTGGGGAAAGTGAATTTCTTTTTAAGAGGTTCATTATACCTTGACCTGTGCCTCTTCTCTGCCCTGGAGTCGGTTTCTGGAGACTAGAAATGGACCTGAATTGGGGGAACAGAATGAATGAATGAAAGAGTACATTTACTTTAACCATTCCTGGATGCCTGCAAAATAAGGAATAGTGCACTTTTATGTATCTGATTTTATAAGGGGTTACTCTTTCAAGAGCAACAAAAAAACGGAAATTGTAATGAAACCGGTAGTATTTGTAAGTGTGAAAACAACTTACTGCCCCGTTTTTTTACTAATTTGCGTATTAAGGTACTACTGAAGGTTAGATCAGAGTTGAAATGCAAAAATACTAATTAGAGAATAATGTGAATAAAATGAGAATTCCCTTGATATTTTATGTGTATTGTAAGTCACAGTTCAATTATTTTTTTAAAAGCAGTTTCAGTTTTAATTACTGAACTGAAGAAACAGGCAATATTTACTTCTGTGGTATGGTTTCCACCGAACTATCTCTAACACTACTATTAAGGTACACCAGTGTTAAGGTACACTAATAACGGCACAAAATTTTATTTAAGGAAGATAGCACTTGCAACCTATGGTACTTTTAAATAAAATGTTGCCTCTTGTTCTGATTCTCACTAGTTTGTGTTACTATTCTAAAAGTTTGAATTTGCTGGGGTTTTTATTTTGAGGATCATATAACCATTGTTCTATTTGGCATAACCCTATTTAATGGTACTTAGAGCTGAATTACTTACAGAAACTGTTTCTGGTTTCAATAATTAGCACAAATTGGCCTAAGATTACCCCATATTTCTATGAAGTAATTATTAAACAACTTAATCATTCTCACATAAGATACACCTTATTTTAATATATTAGTAGTCACTATGACTTGTAGCAATGTTGCATATGTTTAAAATCCTGAACTTAATTTTCCAACCTTTTCTTGACAATTAGATACCTGTCTTGTAGTTACTGAAAATCTGTGTAGAAAAATCTATCTGGTTAAAATGGCACTTTATAAAAGGAAATAGAGAAGAGATGGGACTAGTTATATATTTAAATGCTGCTGGCTATTAAATTCCTTTGTATGTAAATGAAAAATACCATTCATTAAAGACTTATTTAAGTGTGGTTCTTAATTATATTTCATTCATTTATATTAGAGTAAATGGCTTCATAATTACTTTAAAATTTAACCCACAAGCATATTAAATCTGTTTAAGATTAGAAACCATTTTTGAGAGGGACTAATTTAAGCAAGTACTTCTCCTTTAATCTTAGGTTCGTGTAATTGCAGAAACCTAATTACCTACAGCCTGCAGGATGAATGGACACATGTGTGAACTGCACAGAGCAATTCATAGAAATTTGTAACAAGTTTGTGACATCTCTGTCTAGATGGTCATTGAATTTGTGTAAAGATGGATGAAAGGTCGGATGTGGTGTCTCACACCTGTAATCCCAGCACTTTCCAGGGGCTGAGGCAGGTAGATCACTTGAGACCAGGAGTTCAAGACCAGTCTGGCCAACATGGCAAAAACCCATCTCTACTAAAAATACAAAAATTAGCCAGGTGTGGTAGTGCACACCTGTAGTCCCAGCTACTCAGGAGACTGAGGCATGAAAATCACTTAAACCCAGGAGGTGGAGGTTGCAGTGAGCCAAGATCATGCCACTGTATCCGACCCTGGGCAAAAGTGAGACTCTTGTCTCAAATATGAAAATACAAAATATATAAACTCCGTTTGCGTGCCTTTTGTAGGATTTTGGATGTGAATGAATTGTGTATATTTGAGAAGCACTTTTATCCATATATGTGGGTGAAAAACCAATCTAATTTTGTAAAAATAGGCTCCTGGAAGGTGAAAAGCAGTTATTGTTCTAAATCTATACATGTTCTGCCTGTATCTAGTGCAGAAAAAGCTATAACGTCCCGTTGAATCTTAAATTTCATAGACATGTAAAGCTAAAGTAACTAAAGAATAGATGCAGGCTGGGTGTGGTGGCTCACACCTGTAATCATAGCACTTTGGGAGTCTGAGGTGGGTGGATCACCTGAGGTCAGGAGTTCAAGACCAGCCTGGCCATCATGGTGAAACCCTATCTTTAAAAAAAAAAAAGAATAGATGCTTAATTGGCTGGTCACAGTGGTTCACGCCTGTAATCCTGCTCAAGGTGGGCAGATCACTTGAGATCGGGAGTTCAAGATCAGCCTGACCAACCAACATGGAGAAACCTGGTCTCTGCTAAAAATGCAAAATTAGCCCGGTGGCACATGACTGTAATTCCAGCTATTCCATAGCCTGAGGCAGAAGAATTGCTTGAAGTTGGGAGACAGAGGTTGCAGTGAGCCAAGATCCTGCCATAGCGCTCCAGCCTGGGCACCCAACAGCAAAACTCCATCTCAAAACAACAACAACAAAATAATAGATGCTTCAGAACCATCAGAAGGTTCTGGTGAACAGTCAGTATTAATCTCTTAAATGTATATGTTGATTACTAATTACATAAAATCTATAATTTGCTAGGTCTTTAGAGATTGAGTCAATATGTCATTTACCATGGTTTTCTCCCCTAAAGGCTTTAACTTTTCTGATAAAACAATATTTTTTAAAAACCCATTCCTGAGGGGAACTACTTCTAGCATTCCTGTCATGATGTGCTTGTGTACAGTAAGTAGCATTTTTGGCTACTTAACTATATTCGTCTTGTTTTTCAGTTTCCAGTCAAGATTATAAAAAGCAAATGATTGATACAATTTGATGTTCATAGAGTTGTGCTTACCTTTAATGGAAAAATGTAAGTCAGATACTTAGATGTTTATTGATAGGAGACTATATGGTTAAAAAACCCAAGTATGTCCATATGTTTCTTATAAGGTAACACTTGAAATTAGTGAGTGTCACATTTCTCTTTACTTTCATGATATGTAAAATGCAGCTCAATTATATAACATGAATATCTGGTACCAGCTTTTTCATGCCTGAAATCTTGGAGTCTAGGTTGCCTTGTCTATTACTGTTTTTTTAAATAAGTGATATTTGGGAGATTGTAAGGTTTGTTTTGTCAAAATAAAAGGTTCACAGAATTTTTCTCTGAATTGTTTAAATTTCTGTCTGCCTTTAGGCTTTTTACATATATTGTGTTTTTCAGTTCACAGAATGCTTTTTGAAGTTTCAGTTTATTTGACTTTTTTCCTATCCCTTAAGATTATGGGACATATATTCCTGACTTACAGATAAGAAAATGAAGGTTAGTGGTTGTTCAGGTTGTCACATAGTAAACGGCTGTTAGTAAGATCTTAAGAGTCAGTGCTTTCTCACAGCGTTATCTTTTCTGCATGTTGAATTGCCATATTTTTAGCAAAACTGTAGTTTGGCACCAGTGATGGAGGAATCAACTTGGAGAAAAGGTAATACCTCTACCACTACCTAAAAAAATGCTGTATGGATTGTACACACAACATCTGCCATAAACTCTTCCTACCCAGGGCTGACTTCAAGACAAGTGTAGGAATACCTTTTTTCATTTCTCAACCTCTGTCAAGCTTTGAGAGTTAATGAATTAATTTCCTCATCAAGGCTGCCTGTGATCTGTATTTTTAGCAAAATTCAACTCTTGAATGGCAAAGGGATGTGGTACTCCTTGGAGTAATTGCCCACTATTGCTCTCTCTGGGAGCTCCCACCATGATGTTTTATGACAACCCATAAAATATTTTTCAGGGTAACTGAAAGACTAGCTAAGTATTTTGTTTTTCTAGAATGACTTCTTTCCTTAGAAATGCATGTCTTGGTTGGGCGTAGTGGCTCACGCTCACGCCTGTAATCCCAGCACATTGGGAGGCTGAGGTGGGCAGATCAAGAGGGCAGGAGTTCGAGACCAGCCTGACCAACATGGTAAAACCCCGTCTCTACTAAAAATACAAAATTAGCTGGGCATGGTGGTGCACGCCTGTAATCCCAACTACTCAGGAGGCTGAGGCCGGAGAATTGCTTGAACCCAGGAGACAGAGGTTGCAGTAAGCCAAGATCACGCCATTGCCCTCCTGCCCGGGCAACAAGAGCAAAACTGTCTCAAAAAAAAAAAGCACATGTCTTAAAAGGATTTATTAAGCAGTTACAGATATTTTTTAAATTTTCCTAGTAAGGCCGGGCGCGGTGGCTCAAGCCTGTAATCCCAGCACTTTGGGAGGCCGAGGCGGGTGGATCACAAGGTCGAGAGATCGAGACCAACCTGGTCAACATGGTGAAACCCCGTCTCTACTAAAAATACAAAAAATTAGCTGGGCATGGTGGTGTGTGCCTGTAATCCCAGCTACTCAGGAGGCTGAGGCAGGAGAATTGCCTGAACCCAGGAGGCGGAGGTTGCGGTGAGCCGAGATCGCGCCATTGCACTCCAGCCTGGGTAACAAGAGCGAAACTCCTTCTCAAAAAAAAAAAAAAAAAAAAAAAAAAATTTTCCTAGTAAACATTATTTTTATTTTGCTAAGTCAAATAGTATTTTGGAGGATTTTTTTTATTTTTTTGAGATGGAGTCTTGTTCTGTTACCAGGCAGGAGTGCAGTGGCACGATCTCAGCTCACTGAAACCTTTTCCTCCTGGGTTCAAGCAATTCCCCTGAGTCAGCCTCCCAGCTAGCTGGGACTACAGGCGTGCACTACCATGCCCAGCTAACTTTTGTATTTTTAGTAGAGATGGGGTTTCACTATGTTGGCCAAGATGGTCTCGATCTACTGACCTCATGATCTGCCTGCCTCGGCCTCCCGAAATGCTGGGATTACAGGCATGAGCCACCACACCTGGCCTGGAGTTTCTTACATGGTTAATTCCAGAATTAAATACTTGGAATTTGGCCGGGCGCGGTGGCTCAAGCCTGCCTGTAATCCCAGCACTTTGGGAGGCCGAGGCGGGTGGATCACAAGGTCAAGAGATCAAGACCATCCTGGTCAACATGGTGAAACCCCATCTCTACTAAAAATACAAAAAATTAGCTGGGCGTGGTGGCGCATGCCTGTAATCCCAGCTACTCAGGAGGCTGAGGCAGGAGAATTGCTTGAACCCAGGAGGCGGAGGTTGCGGTGAGCCGAGATCGCACCATTGTACTCCAGCCTGGGTAACAAGAGTGAAACTCCGTCTCAAAAAAATAAATAAATAAATAAATAAATACTTGGAATTTACTATAAACCAGTATTCCTTCCATGATTACTCAAGTCTTCATAAATCACTGAATATTAGAGGGCTGGAAGATGACTGTACAGGAACTTGTTTCTCAAGATACAGGAGTCATGTGATTCACATAACTACCTGCTTTTTCCCTGAAGAACACTATACTTCCTTCTCAATCTTTAAATGTCAGTTTCATATCAGTAAGTAGCTTTCTCATTCTGTTAATTAATAGCCTATTTTTCCACATCGATGCATTGGTAAGGAATGTGTGAGAAATGTTCCACCCTTATACAGCACCTAGCATGTTGAAGGTATTCAGTAAGGATCTTTTAATGGAATACAGTAAATATTTTTATAGTGTTATATAATATAAATAATTCAATAACATACATTTATGCTATGTGAATAAAATTTTTTTTTCTGTTTTGTTTTGTTTTGTTTTCTGAGACAGAGTCTTGCTCTGTCACCCAGGCTGGAGTGCAGTTGCGGGATCTCGGCTCACTGCAACCTCCGCTTCTCAGGTTCAAGCACTTCTCTGCCTCAGCCGCTCGAGTAGCTGGGTTTACAGGCACCTGCCACCATGCCCGTCTAATTTTTGTACTTTTAGTAGAGATGGGGTTTCACTGTCTTTGCCTGACAGGTGTTGAACTCCTGACCTGGTGATCCACTTGCCTCGGCCTCCCAAAGTGCTGGGATTACAGGTATGAGCCACTGCACCTGGCCAATAAAGTTATTTTATTTTTATTTTTTATTTTTTTTTGAGACAAGAGTTTCGCTCTTGTTACCCAGGCTGGAGTGCAATGGTGCGATCTCGGCTCACCGCAACCTCCGCCTCCTGGGTTCAGGCAATTCTCCTGCCTCAGCCTCCTGAGTAGCTGGGATTACAGGCACGAGCCACCATGCCCAGCTAATTTTTTGTATTTTTAGTAGAGACGGGGTTTCACCATGTTGACCAGGATGGTCTCGATCTCTTGACCTCGTGATCCACCCGCCTCGGCCTCCCAAAGTGCTCGGATTACAGGCTTGAGCCACCGTGCCTGGCCAAAAGTTATTTTTTATATAAAATGGCTCCTAAATGCCAACCAACAAGTTCATCTGCAGCTCAGCCAAAAGAACAGCAAGTTATTCCAATCCTAAAGATAAAATCGGCTTTATTAGAATTTTACTTCATGGGAGATTTAAGAGATTTTCAAGAGCAAATTTTATTATAAGAAAGTTTCGGCCGGGCGCGGTGGCTCAAGCCTGTAATCCCAGCACTTTGGGAGGCCGAGGCGGGTGGATCACGAGGTCGAAAGATCGAGACCATCCTGG